CCTGAGTTGCACATTCAAAATAAATGAGTTTATGATATATAGTTTATCCCTCAAAAAAGTTGTTGAATGAATAAACAAATGAATAAGTAAATTCATTAGTTGACAGAGAAACAAATTGTGTGCTTGTAATTGTGTGCTCAGGAGGTTCCTGTGACAGCCTAGGTAGAAGATGGTGGCTCTAGGGTGGTGGCCTCTATGGAAAGAATGGAATCAGCAGGAGAAATGTTCAGGAATTAAGCTGAGTATGAACTAGAGACAGAGATGATGTGGGAACTCTGGCTCATACTCTGTCCTCTAGAAATACCAACTTCTTGTGAATATTTGAGCACTCATGTTCCTTTACTTTCTGAGTGTTTTCAACTAGGCTCCTCATCTTCTCCCTGGTGTTCACATGATGGTTCTTCCACACTCAGATCAGATGTCATCTCCCCTTTAATGAATTCCCTGAGCCACCTTACCCCTATTGTGTTCCCACAGCACGCCCTGCCCACATCCATGTTAGCATTTTCTTGTATGCACTTGTTTACCTGTCACTCCATTTGATCACTACTGCCAAATACCTGACACTGAGGTCTTCACATCCATCACAGTACCCTTTCCAGATATGACCAACTGACCACTGTATGCCTGCTGAGACAGGACACCTCTACACAGTGCCACGGGTAGCCCCTGGAACCAATTGGCATTGCTACATTCATAAATTCTATTGCTGTATTCTTCACAGTCTTCTCTTGACTGTGCCATGCTTTGGGACATGGTTCATTTGTTCATGAGATCTCTGAATCAGGTACAAGGAATGGATACAATAAATGGATAAATCCTGTCTAAGAAGAAGCTTCCAGATTTATCTATACTTGATATGGAAAGCAGTTTTATTTCATATACCATGTCTCTTTCACAATGATGGCTTCCATTTTGTTTTGTTTTGTTTGCCCTCAGGTGGCAAGAAATTAGCTGAGCATCATAATTTCTTCCCATTTTTTTTTCTGCTAAATTCTGTGTTTTGTTTAGTGAATGCATCATCCACAGTCTTCCATCATAAACCACTGAAGTACGGTCCATAATGGGGCTTGGGCTTTACACAATAGTCTTGATATTTTAGACATTATGCCTTTGAGAGCTAAAGCTTTCTAAGTCAGGCATCAAGGTAATGATTTAGTTATTTATTCCTTTGAACCAGCTACTTTTGTGACTCATTTTTCTCCCTAACCCATGCTATTATGCACTAATCCATACATTACTTCCCTTCAATGCAGATGACACAGACTGTTGACTTAGGGTGATTTTGCAATATGCACATTAACAAAGACTTTGTGAGCAGGAAGAATACCAGTTATTCCACCAACTTTAAAAAAAAAATAGCTGAGTGGGAGACCAGCTTAGCAGGGTGTTAAACATCCATTAATAATGGCAGGGAGACAAAATTCAAGGTTTTGATTTTGGTTCAGATAAATGCTTTAAAGTCAAAGCTCAGCTAACTGTATTTCACTGAGTTTCTGTTTGAAAAATCCTGGCCTGAACACACAGGGGTGTTTGCCTGCATGAAGATTAGACAGACATTTCCAGTAGCTTATGTAATAATGACCGTGATTCAATAATGCACTTTAAAATTATCATACATGTTGATCTTAGTGGGGTAGTCCAGGTTTCAAATATGTGACCCTGTTTTTCCACATGGCTACATTTCTCAGATCATATGTGTTGACTTTTGGTACAGAAAATAATATTTTTAAAGTCTAAAGTTTTTACTATATTCCCACTTCAAAATTTTAGACAAATTAGTTCCATTCTCAGTGATAAAAAAACGTTTGTTGATTTGCATTGCTACCATGTTATGTGGTGCATATGGCTGATTCTTCATCCACCAACCTGTAAGTTCTTTGAAAACAGAGACTGTGCTGTTTATTTTATAGTCCATCAGCACTTCTCCATTCCAGGTGCTCAAATGCTGTTACTAAAAATATGCATGTTAAAAAATTACTTTCATGATAATATTAGAACCATTTCTTCACTGCTTGTGGGAAACTTCACCATTGTTGAACTGGTTAGTACTCTAGTTTCACAGAAGAAGTGAATTTGTTTTTCTCAAATGTGCTTAGTGATTAATATATGTCTGTCATGGTGATGGTCACTTTGACCGGATTCCCTCAACAGATATTCAGGACTCCCCTGTGAAACAAGCACTATTATTATCACTCGTTATAAGTAGGAGAATTCAACACAGTGAAATAACTCTGCCTTTGTCACACAAGCTGCTGAGCTGAAAAGCCCAGATTTAAAACCAGAAGTTCCATTTCATTTTACTTTCGGGAAAATATATGTTTTGTTTCATGTTCCATGAAAAAAAGTTTTGGTTTAGATTGATTTTCTTTATGCATTGCTTTTTTTTCCCAAAAATCAAAAAAATTTAAGCCTTTTGAATGAGTACAGAGGTGGAAATCTCAGTGTTTTCTTTGTATCTTTCCTATTGCTATTGTCAGGAATCTAGACCCTCAACAAATCCACCTTCAAAATCTATCTAGAGTTTCACCACTCCTCATCCCTACCACTGCTCCCGCCCTGGTCTAATGCACCAGGAGCTCTCTCACATGACAGTTGCAGTACTACTTCCTCTCACCCCCACCACTATCTTTCTTGCACCCCTACAGACAAATCTCTATGAGAAGTCAGAGTGTTTTTTTCAGAAAAGCAAATCCGATCATGTGGCACAGTGCTCCTAACCCCAATAACTTCCCATGTCACTCATAGTAAAACAGAAATGTCTTTCTGGTGTTTCTACACAGTTTACAACTCCCACCTACAGTTATCTTTCTGATGTTGTCCTCCACTACTCTCTATTGCATGCACTCTCTCAGCCATGCCATCTCTTTTTTCCCCTCCAACTCATGACATGTCCCAGCCCCAGGATCTTCTGCACTTGCGATGGTGTTAGACCAGAATTCTCTTAACCAGGACAATTGAGTAGCATCATTTCTCACTTCTTCAGGTCTTTGATTAAATCCTCCCTTTTAGTGCAGCTTCTTCGAATTGTAATATTTTAAATTATTTTCCATCTTCCTTCATTTTCCTAAGTAGCACTTACATGCTGCCTAAGCACATAACATCTAAGGTATTGTAGATTTTAACCATCTGTTCAATGTCTGGTTTCACCCAGTAGGAGTGACCCACCCAGGGCAAGACCTCATGTCTTTTGCCTTCTGAGCCACATCTCTAGCACCTGTGCCATTGCTTTGCATATAAGAGGCATTTGAGAAATACGGTGGAACCAGAAACTCTTGTTATACTTCAATATACAATAATGCACAATAGTACCTATGTTTTTCCAACTAGATGAAGAAATTTTGAAATATTATGGGATTGTCAATTACAGCTTCATGTAGGAAAATAGCAGGAATGATTTCCTGCAGTTAACTGGGTCATCATTTTACTGGTGTTGGACTCACTCAGATTTTCATGTAATATAGTCCCTTTACAAAAATTTATAAAGTTTCCCCTTGCCCCAAATTGTTTTTAACCTTCAGAAATGTAGATCTGTGCTGAAACAAACTCTAGTTTAGCCTTAGACTCTCAATTATAGCTTTTCCAGACACATTAACTCCCAAATTCAGCAAACTCGATTTTTCTAAAGCAAAAAGAAGTCATGCAATAAGGAGGATAAACAAGTTTAGTTTTTTTGTTGTTGTTGTTGTTGTTTGTTTGTTTTGTTTTTTTGTTTCCATCAGAGGCAGGCTGCAAGGTTTTTTGGCTTTTGTTTTCTTTTAACAAAAAGTGTTTATATTTTTACTGTGTAGTGCATAGTAATAATTCAGATGCTGAATTGGCTCCTTCTGGATTTCCTCTGAAGCTCTTCAAATTTGAAACTTTCTATTATATTCTAAAGTATGCATTTTCAAAAGGCATAAATACATAATTTAGATATTCTATTAAAATGATTAATGAAATTATTGAGCCAGATATTAGAGAAATATCAAAGTATAAATCTTATAGCATGTTTTCTAAGCTAAGCTGTTGTCCAGATGAGTAAGGGTCAGGGTTTCCTTTGCTATTTTTAAAACCATGCATTTATTTATGCCTTATTTATTCCATAAATATGGTATTCAGCAAATAATCTGCACTAAGTGTATTTAAACCTAAAAAAACAGAGGTAGGATTTCAAAGATTTCATAAATGTAGGATTTCAAAGATTTTACAAATATGTCACTGTTAAATAGATAGAAATATGTTACTCTTAGGGTTTAGATATGAGGTGTCCCCCAAAATTTCATGTGTGAAACAATGTAAGAAAGTTTAGAGGTAAAATGATTGGGTTGTGCTGAGAGCCACAGCTGAGTCAGAATGGCCCCTGGCATTTTGCCAATAGTATTGGTTGACAGGCAAGGCATTACTATCCGCCTCAGCTGCTACTTTGGAGTTCTTGTGGGGATTCCCGGGGGATTCCCAGAGAGTTCCCATTGGTTGGGGAAGTGCAGGAGGAGGGATTTCCGGAGGAGATATTTCCAGTGGCTGGTTCCTGGACAAGCCACATGGGGTTCCGGAGTTCCCTGGGGAGCGTGTGTGGAGTGTGCTGGTGGAGTTCAGAAATAAAGTTTGCTCCTGCTTCATTGGCTCCTGATTTGAGCCCAGCCAGACTGCGGCAGGGTTATGAGGAGTTTAACCTAATCAGTGCATTAATTCATTGATAAAAATAAACTCTAGGCAGGTAGGGCGTGCCTGAAAGAGGTGGGTCATTGGTGGCATGCGTTTGGGTTTATATTTTGTCCCTGATGAGTGAGATCTCTCTCAGCTTTCTGGTGGCCATGTCCTGAGCTGCTTTCTCCCACCACACACTTTCACCATGATGTTCTGCCTCATCTTGGGCCCAGAGTAGTGGAGTTGGAAAGAACCTGTGAGCCCCAAATAAAATTGTCCCCCTGTAAAATTGTTCTTGTCAGGTCTTTGGGTCACAGAAGTGAAAAAGCTGTCTAAAAAAGTTACCATCATCATTATTATTTTTTTTTCAGTAGACATCAGATACTGGAAAACACTCCGCGAACTATTTGAGAAGTGTGAAGACAAGAAATGAGGTGGTGCCTTTGAAATAGATGTCTCCACAACTGAAAAAAAAAATTGAAGTTTAGACATTGGCATGGCTTTGATCTTCAACATCCCCCCCCAAAACCTTGTTTTCTTAAAGTCTTGGTGGTGACTCAGTGCCATTGAGAGGTGACAAAACCTTTAGAAGGTGGGGTCTAGGGAAGAAGGTAGGTCCTTGAGGGTGTAATTTTGATGAGTATATTGGAACCCCAATCTCTTCCTTTCTTTCTTTCCTAACTGGCTACCATGAGGTGAACTGGCCTCTTCTGCCATGCACTACCACCATGATATATTGTGTCACCACAGGTCCAGAGTGACATGGCTAAGTCATCATGGACTAAAGCCTCAGAACTGTCACCCAAATAAACCTTTATTCCTTATAAGTTGTTTATATCAAGCATTTTGTCACAGTGATGGTAAGCTGAACTAGCACAAGATACTTAAGTGGTCTCGACTTCACTCTGAAAATTGACTTATCTTTACCAACAGGAGATAATTGAGCTTGCAGGAAGCGGTGTTGTATACAATAATCTACTGTCTACCTTCTTTTGTCTAATATTGTTCCCAAACCTTTCTAACTCTTTTCTCTTATGCAAGCTGATCATGCTGCATAAAGATTGCCTGGCCCTTCTTTTTTTTTTTGGGGGGGGGGGTTCCAGGAATTGAACTTAGGGGTACTCAACCACTGAATCACACCCCAAGCCTATTTTGTATTTTTATTTAGAGACAGAATTTCACTGAGTTATTTAGCACCTCACTTTTGCTGAGACTGGTTTTGAACTCATGATCCTCCTGCCTCAGCCTCCTGAGCTGATGAGATTACCAGCATGCGCCAATGCCCGTGGATTGTTTATCCCTTCTTTAAAATACTTATAACCCTTAGCAGAAGGCAATGAGGAAGTCATCTTCATGTCTGGTCTCAGAGATGAGTCACTCCAAGTGATCCTGACATTCTCTTTCTCTGCTTTTTTCCTTCTCCATTTATTCCACAAATGTATCTTACTGAAATAATGTGATAACTGTCCAGTTTTCCTGCTGATAAACTCAAAAAAGCTTGGTGCCATTGCTGCCTTTCCTTCTTTGAGGTACTCTGCTTAGCACAATACCTGCATTTAACTAGCTATTTCATGAATATTAATGGACTAAATAAGTTGCATGATATCAAATTTTAACTTAAATATTTGATTTTGAGTGTTCATCTTCAATGATTAAGGAAGAGGTTAATTTTTAATAATTCACCAATGCTTAGGTGATCAGGATTAGACAGTTTCAAAATACCTTAGTTGTGCAGTAGGCGGGAGGGGGCAGGTTAATTCATGCCCAAGACACATAATAGTTCCAAAGGACTTTGCATAAATAAGTAATTTATTTTATGTTTCTTGCTGGTATTTTTGCTTTCCGAATCTTCAAAAAGATGAGCTTAAAGACCCAGAAGAGAGTTCAAATTAAGACAAATTAAAAATATGATCCAAGTAAGACAGAAGAGGGAAGTATGTAAAAATGTACTTGTTCAGTCTTGCTACTATTTCCTGGAGTCAATCTCAGTTTAAAACATAATAAGCAGACCCCAGCTTGTCATACCTACTTTCTCCCAGGGGTTTGAAACTGTAATGAAAGCATTTTAACTCAGTGGTAACTGGATTAGAGTAATGCAAGAACCTGTCACCTTGGGACCTCCTGCTTATGTCTTGAACTGAATAAATGTGCATGGAAATTGTTTTAAACCGATGGCTGTGCAGGATCACAAGTTATAGTAATGTTGACAGTCTCAGCTTGGAACCTGGAAAAATAGCAAAACTGTGGAGCAGGGATTGAAAACAGCTCATTTGCTGACATGAAAACTGCGCTCAGAGGTTTAGATGTACAACCTCTGCAGGTCAATGGTGACAATATTTGCAAAGTGCCACCAGCATCTCTACTGCAAATTGAAGCAACTTAATCCAAATCTTTGCTGCAAATCTCAAGCAACTTGATTTCTTTTCCAGCCTTTAGTACCCATAAGAAGCCAAAAGAAGAAGTTTCTCAGACTTAAAGTGTACGAAAGGATACTAAATCTTGCATCTCCTGGAGGCCGAATGGATAATGAAAAGGCATAGTTGTCACATTCTGCCAGAGCTGAATATCTTGGAAATAATCCAATCAGTGTGTTCCTTTCAAAGAGTAGCCGGTGTTTCAGTATGAGTTCCTCCTTCGTTATTTCACAGGTTTATTGTACTCTGTCACAGAGGCAAAACATCTGTTGGCAAAGACAAGGGAAGAAAAGGGGATTCTCCATCTTCCTTATGAACATTTGCAAAGAAGTTCTGGTGAATTTACTGCCACTGAAAAGTGGCAGTTTTTCACTTTCTGAGATTCCAGGTTCAGGGCTGCACCAACTAATTCCTGACTAAGAAAAAAGAAAACCTGTAAGTTCTAAACTGTCAAAATGTATCTTAGAGTCAAATTTAGCAAAATGGACACAGAAGGGAGGATTCAGAAGAGTCTTAGAAATCCAACCTGCTTCTTATAAAGTTGAGTTGTTCCCTAAAGGAGATTCATTTAGAATCCATCTTTTCATAGAACTTTATTTAGTTCCATAGTACCAGCAAAATTGCTCAATTCATAAAGCCATCCATATCAGCAATATTTATAAAATATTACATGGTTCTTCTTACTTCCTTCAAATGGAATAAGCAGTAGGATGTCCATTTTACAGATGTGGTAAGTGAGATTCAGAGATCAGGTATGTTTTGCCTGTGGCATATGGTGATATGATTCTAAGTGATAAGTCAGTATTATATCTGAATTTATCTCTGCAAAACCCTGTGTCCCGGAGAAGGTCTAGTACATAACAGATACTTTGCTTTCCAGTCTTCCATTGAATTAAATCAGTACCTCCATAATCCACTTGAAGAACTCATCTTTTCATAACACTTTGGAAAGGAATAGGTGTTCACAACTACTTAGAATATTTATTTGTTCGTGAATTTGTGTCTCACCCTTTGCGTGCGAACTGTGAGATGTTCAGAACCCACACATGATCACTTAGACAGTTCAGGTTTTGAAATAACTTTTTATATATCAATGTAACTTGGTTGTAATTTTTCTTAAATTTTGAATCGGGACTAAAGTGAAGTACTTAATATCAAATTGGGAAGGCATGTCAAAAACCATGCCTGGTTTCTCCAATCGTGAAACAGATAATGGTTTACTTTGGACTGAAGTAAAAAAATATATATATGGAGACAAATTTAGGAGTATATGGTATTGATTCTCTTGTTATTACTATTTTTACTATTTGTGTGTGTCTATATTATGCTTTTTTCTTCCCCCTTTTGTATTCCAAACCTGTCTCCTGTTATATTAAAAAACAAAACAAAACAACAACAATAAAAAAAACAGTCTTGACTCTAGGCACTGTGTAAACCACCCCCAAAGCTCCCCAAATATGGCAAGAACAGGCAACTCTTTCAAAGTTGTATAAAGGGTGCAGGGAGCTGGTGTATTTAGTATCTAAGGAGCAGCTTTTCCTTTTCTTGTTACTTTTTTTCCCATTTCCCTCAGTAGAAGCTAAAACTTTATTATAAAACCACAGATAAGTATATCAACTGCTCAGAGGCTGGCACAGCAGAATACAAGGAAATAAGAGATAAGGGAATTTGGTCAAATACAAAAAGTACTGTGGAATTTAAACCAAATGACAGCAGATAAGGCTTTCTCTGAGTTTCTATTAAAAAATGTAATAAATAAGAAATTCGAAAATTTTTTTTCCAGGCCCAGCACTTTTGTTCCTACATTGCTCATCATAAATGTACAGTATTTTCATCAATGTGTGGATTCTATTCACAGTTGCAAAAATATACACTGTTGGAGCCATGCTAAAGATATGACAGCCTTAGATTGATGCCCTGTGAGTCTTTCTATAAGGTTCATTATTTAAATAAGTAGACTTTATTTGCAAACTTGAGGATGTAGCCCCATAAGCTTGCATGGATGTCTGGTGGTGAAAGAAAGGTGGTTCAATAGAAATCATCAGAAATCAAAACAGATTACAAACAAATAGGGTAGGTACTTTGCATATGAATTTCCTTAGGGAAAGTTCATAGTTTTCTATTTTATCATTACTTACAATATAATATTTCTCTAAGGTCTTTAAGGTACTGTTAGTAATGGGTCTTACTGATATTTCACGGTCCACTATGGAATTGAAATTGACCTAAGTCAGATATGTCTTAAAGCGGACACAGCCCTTCAATGAATTTTCATAGATTCATGAAGACCATCTCAGTTCCTAAGTTGACTTCAGGGAAGGGAGAGAGATTGCAATCTAGACAAAAAGAGACTCCAGTTGTACTCTGAGATGACAGGACCTGCAGACCTGAGTATGATCTGCAGCCTTAGGTGAAGTGTTCTGGTGCTGGCTCTATTTATAGAGAGTAATATCCCCAAGTCATAAAACATCTCCCTGTATAATTAATATGGCACATTTGTCTACCTCAGCATCTCTTGAGCTCAGTCTATGGGATGGTTCATAGAAGGAGAAGACCACACTATTTGGATGGTAGGTGTTCAACAATTTCATTGCAACTTGTCTTTTGTTCTTATTGATATGTGCATATAAACTTCTATCTACTTGAATTTATGTTTAAAAGCATTTATTGATAGATAATTTGGGAATCTCATATTTATATGTCATAGTAGACTGAAAAAGAATACACTAAGCCTATGTGATTCTTTATACTTTAGTTCTTGCTAGCTTGCAAGTGGGGGGGAATCTTATCATATTTTAGTAATAATTCCATAGACTGTGGCAATACATCCTTCCTGGGCATAGTAGATCTAGTGCCACAAATAGGTCACACTTTGTAAATAGTCTGAGTATCAAATCATGAGTGGGTATAACTATCAATAAACAAAAATAGAGTCCAATAGAAGTAGATTGTGTGAAGAATTGTAACATAGTGTCATAATATGTCATAACACCTAATTTTTAAAAATAGTTCAAGTTTAAATGTCATGTTATTTTATATAATCAAATTTTAGATTTTTCTGTGTGTACAAAGATGTTGGTATTCACAAGATATTGAAGATCCCATGCTATGTGGAACATAAAAGAAGATCAAATCTCCTAAAATTAGCCACGGAGTTGCTTACAGAAATTGGATAACTAGAAAAATCTAACTCTGATCAGTTTTTAAAAATTGCTTTTTGAAGTACTTAATTCTCTCTCTGAAAATAATTTAAGATTTAGTATCAATGGAACATTTCTTCGTATTTATAAACAAGATCTCATAAATCTTTGCTGCTTTTGTTGTATGGACCAGAATAAGAGATGAATGTGAGGTTTAATAAAACTGAACACCTAGATCTCCATATTTCTTGCTGTCTCTGTGAAAAATCCACATCAGTATTATCTCTAAATAGCCATATAGAATTCCTTCTCAACTAATGAGAAATTTTTTGATTAATGAATGACTAGAATTAAATGAGCAATCATGAGTAAGGTATTTAGAATAGCCTCTGGCATGTGCTGATCATCCTATTTATCATTAGTTTATTATGTTTATTGTTAATTCATATTTCTATAATAGAACATTGGGGTCATCCCATTGTCAGAGTTTCCTAGCAAAACAAAATGTATAAAACCTGAGACTGTTGGCAGAATATGAACCTAAGTCCTCATTCTTTCTCTATTCCATTTTTAAACTCAACTATTGACATTAAATTTTAAAAATTATTTGCATGTGTTCTATTTTATAACTTCATTTAAGAAATAATTTTAATTAAAGAAAATCCTATCACTTGAGAATTGATTTAAAAATAATTTTGCTTAATATATTGATTACTAGGCTATACTATAACTCGAGGACATCTTGAGTTTCACTTAAAACCATAACCTCATCCATGAGAGAATTTGTATAGGTGCATATGGGTGTAGTTATCAGGTCCAGGTTTTGTGTGTGTGAATCCAGAATGCCCATGGACAAAGTGGAGCTCTCCCTTTGGGATTCATGAATTCTGAGTACCGTTCTTATCTATGAGATTCTCTGTAGAAAAGAGAGAGAGAGAGAGAAAGGGAGAGAGACAAATTTTCCTTTTAAATTTTAATTATTGAAAGCTTAAGTTCTCTAGAGGGCATATACATATATTCATATAAATATTTTGTATTGATCCACTTAATCTTATTTTATGGTTATTTAAAGTGTTCTTTTGGGACTAGTTTTAGTTGTTCTAAATGAACAAAAAATAGGTTTTGTACTTTCTCAAAATGAAAGTATTTTGTCAATATTTTTGAATTTTAGCATGCTATTAAATAATCACTCAGGATATGCAATGATATCCCTGAAAATAATGGTGTAATTATTTAATTAGATAAAAATAGCATAAGTGAATATAATCTACTTTAATTTTCAAATATATTAACAGTGATATCCATACCAAAAAAGTTCAAAATTTGCCAAGCAGTAAAATAATAATTGTGAACATATGGGTAGGAAGGCAATTGATTTTAAATATCATTAATTAATAAATAAAAATTAATAAATTTGGGGCTCTGATTGTGGTTCAGTGGTAGAGTGCTCGCCTAGCATGCATAAGGCACCCGGTTTGATCCTCCCACTACATAAAAGTAAAATAAAGATATTGTATCCACCTAAAGCTTAAGAATAAATATTTTTTTAAAAATCAATAAATTATTTTCTTCTCAATAGTAATGTCTTGATTTCATGTACCAATATCAAATTCTTGGTCATAATCTTTTTATTATAATAGACTATTTTTTAGTACTTGACCATTTATGATAGCTTTAGAACATTTAAATGGTTACTTAAATCACATCACGTAACAAAATTTTTGTTTGCTTTATAATTTCATAATATAAAGCAAACAATTTTGTGGAAATGAGAGCTTTTGTCAAGTATTTGAACTATTATAACATTGTTAAGACATGTTTCACAGAATAGTTATGTCTCGAATTAGTTACACCTATTTCTTTTTCTAAGCCTAAATAGCTTTCATATTTATTAGGTCTGCATATACTAACAAATAAGTTCTATGATGCAATTATAAAGGAACATAGGTATAGTTTCATAAGGGTCCTTGGCAGTAAAAGATCACAGTAAGTTGTTTCACTGCTGTCATTTCAGCAGAACTAAGACACACACACACACACACACACACACACCCTCAGTTCATCAGGCCATTACATTGTCAAGGTATGTGTGTCTTTGTGTATGTCACACCCTCTAAATTCAGGTGGCCTCAAGCTGTGCCTTATAATTCCAGCCTCAATTAAACTTTGCAAGGTCAGCAGTACTGCACCAGGTCAGACATAAATAAGACAGAGGATGGTCCTAGGGTACAGAAAAGCCATATTTATTCTTTATCCACAGTTCATGGCTATCAAATGAAACCTTGAAGAGAAGAAAGACAGAAGAAAGGACAACTCTCAAAAGCTACTTTTCACCAAGTGTAACCTGTGTTAAAAAATATATGTGTAATTCAAGACATCATGGTATATATATATATATATATTTTTTTTTCCCCCTAAGAATTCAGTTTTTACCAGATATTATTGAAGAATATGTTGATATAATTGTACATCATTACTTCAGAAATCAAGAGAGCCAATTTCTAATTTGTTGTGTGTTCTGCTAATTAATAAGATAAATTTAAATACATATTTTATCACTCTCAGTTTTCTCTTCATAAAATAAATTTAAAAATAGATAAATCTATTAAAATTGTCAACTCTAGTTCTAATTGAATCAGAATTTCACTTAAATAATATTATTAAATAAAGATCTAATAAGCTACACAAAAATAAGAAATTTAGAGAATATATTTGATCATAAATGATGCATTGGAATTAATTTTTTAAATTAAAAAAAGCTCCTATAGGACAAAAAGACAAACATAAAAATGCAGAATAATTAGCAGATAATTCATTGAAAAAGTCATTAGGTAGCCAATAAACACTTGAAACATCTTCAACCTCTTTAACAACTTGGGAAATGCAAATGATACCAGTGCTACACTATTTTATAATCACTAGTTTAGCAAAATTAATAAATCTAACCATGTCGAGGATGTTAGGAGTGAGATTCCTCATCATGCAAGAATGGCTACTGCACTGCAGAAAAATCACAAGGGCTTCATAGGATATTTTTAAAAATTGAGGAAACCACAGCAAAATATATTGAGCAGTGTATGTGTGTCACCAACTTAAGGAAATTCATAGTTTCAATATTAGATGGTGCTGTGTTCTGTTTGATGATGTCAGATCTTTGCAAAGCTGTTCAGTGCTTGTTGTAGTAAAGAGAGAACAGTGTGACTAACATGCAATTATGGACATTTGTAGGAAGAAATCCAGTTTGCTGTTCTCCCTGTTGTCTAGCATGTTGGGTGAAAAGTTTGATCCTTCTTTTATTTTTACCCCCTATGGTGTTGGAAAATGAACCGAGGGCCTTGCACATGCTCTGTGCACTCACTCTACCAATGACCTACATCTCTAGACCTATGACAGTTAATGTACACATGAGGCAATGGACTCATTTTTAGCCCACACTAGCACATGATTTCTTTCATTGTAAACTAAATGGTAAGTGGTGCATGTGATAATAAATTGGATAACAAGTAAAAAAGAAGAGAGGAAGCAAGGATATTATTGAAGAATATGTTGATATGATTGTACTTCATTACTTCAGAAATCAAGAGAGCCAATTTCTAATTTGTGGTGTGTGCTGCTAATCAGTAGGATAAATGGATTGAGAAAAAACGCAAAATGGATAGAGAAAAAAATGGCAGACTTTAAAGGTGTATAGCATAGAATTCCATTGGAAGTAAGACTGGAAGATTTAGAGAAAACAAAAAGCAAAATAAGACATACTTGTTTTGATAAGTTGTTCATTGTTTATCTTAAATCCAAATTCAATTGGAGATTCTATTTATTTGGCAGCTCTACATGAAAATGATCAATAAGTTATAAGAATAGCAGATAGTATCAAAGTCAGGGAACTGATAACTGCATAGCAAGATTTTGAAGACTTTCTGGAGGTAAAGAGCAAACAATTCATCAGTAGGAGATAGGAGAGTCAAAGAGCTGAATCACAGCTCCTCTCCCATGAGAAGAAAGATACCTAAGAAGAAAATGCTGCGGTCTCTGTGGAAAAATAAGAAAACAAACATGAATTCTTGATTCAGTCAAGTGAGTATACTGTGAGAGCAAGTAGAAACTGAAAGCTGAAATACAAGAAGGGCAAGCTCCTAAAGAAAAATGCACATGTTGATGAAAAGAAAATGTAAATGAAAGAAGGACATTTCCAATTTCTACAATTTATTTGGGGGAGTATGAGATAAATTTGAGATTTAGCTTGACTGACCCAGAGATGCATCAAAATAAAGATTGCTACAAAGAAAATTTTGAGATATTAAAAGATTTGAATTGAATAAGGCTCTATGCCAAAAAATATTTAAAAGAACATGCATCATGTGGAAATAATGATTTCTTAATCATAATCTGGGTAAAAATCCAGATTATATGATTCAAAACTGATAAAGGGAGGTATAAATCAAATGGAATCTCTAAATAGGAAATTCATAAGTCTTGACATGCATAATCAGAGAAAAAGAGATTTAAGTATATTTGCAGCAATCATGATGACAACCATTAAAAATAAAGTGACAATATTCTAAACCAACCAATTGTAGAGACATAATAAAGTGAAGACAAAAGAAACACAGGGAGGAGAAACTTTAACGAATACTAATAACCCACATAATATGACAATTCTATCTTAAGCATTACCACTGAATAAAATATTTGAATTTTGAGTCAAAGAACCATGTTAAATATTTCACAATTTAAAAGGGACAGTGGCAAAATTTTTAAAAAGTTAAAAATAGAGGAATAACAAACATATCCCACGAGTGAATGAACACACATCGAAGCAAGAAAGTGGAATGGAGGAATAGAATTCAAGATTCAATGTTAGACAGATAATTTCATGTTATTGAAAGTAACAAAGTCAACTGACAAAGTTGACTTTGAAAATCTAGTAAAAAAATTGATAAATTTGCAACAAAAAATTCAACTGTAATGGAAGATTTTAACAAATTAATGTCAATATTTAGAGATATATGGAGACTTTTCCCCAAAAATCAAAGTACCTGTTCTTTCAGGTGCCTTGGAAAATGTATCAGAATGTATCATATTGACTACAAAAATCCTTCTAACTACAAAGGAGAGCTTTCAGAGATCATAGCTTATTACCATTTTTACTGTCATATGCTCTTCAGAAATGAAAACCTCAGAAATAAAGGCTTAAAACATGAGAAATCACACATGGAAAAGGGACTCTAATAGCAGGTATGGG